TTCTTTGAACTGTATTTGATACCTTACAGTGTGGTTGGAGCATCTCCTTGGGCTATGAGGTACAGCCCAGTAGATAATTAAGAGTTTTTCTTTCATTTAGAATGCACTGGGAATTTTTGTTAGAATGTTATTAATACATGTATTTTTTATTTCATGACTCCACTGTCATTTCTCTTCCACTTAAGTCATTTAATCCAAGACTCTCCCCCACTTAGCCTGCATCTCTCTTAGACCAGAAGTAAAAGGGGAACCCAACTATCTCCATTAGACACGATCTCCATGTCTTCTCCCCTCTCTCCAATGTATTCTCCCCTCCCTCGTGATATTTGATTCTGCTGTTTTGATGGGAAGTGACCTTCTGCTAACCTTGAAGTGCTGTCCTAAGCCCTGGTATTAAACTGTTTCCGTTTTAGCCCCTGCTCCATTTCTCTATCTGTAGCTATTTCAGACAGGTTCTTCTGAACATGGAGTAACATGCACTCCTCTCTATCTGTGAGTCCTAATTTTCACATCCTCCTTTCATATCTGGCAAGGCAGAAGCCCCTCCAATGTCCCCATGAATGTCCCTGGGCAGTCTATTGTTTGTCCTTTTTGTTATTGTTGCTTTGTTTCGTTTTGAATTTTAGTCATGTTCTTTGCTATTTTGGAGTCTTCCATTCACAGATGCTTGACAGACTAAGTTTGTGAGTGGGGGTTGGGGATTGAAGGGATAAAGGTAGGGTGACAGAAAAAGACCTCTCTAAATCAAATATCAGACCTGGAATGGTGATGGGAAATAAAACCAGTGCTGCTGGAAGCTATTCTCTACCGTTTATTTCAGTGTGTTTACTTCAGACGTCTTGTGTTACATAAACAATGGTATTTGTGTTAGTAAATGATGCAGCAGAAGTTACTTCTGATAACTAGAGAGAGATGTGTGTGTTTATAGCTACCTTGAAACTTTAGATTTAGGTTAACCAGAGGGTATGTGAGCTGGTTATAGTGGCACACTCCCATAATCCCAGCATCAGAAGGTAAAGGTAGGAAGATGACAAGTCAAGGCCATGAAGCTAGAAACCCTACTGCAGTACATCAGTTCCATCCATTTACTTTAAGGGAGCTATAGCAAATATAGGTCTCTTTTCAACCTTTCCATTCCTGTGTTAAGAATAGAATAAGACCAGGCTGGAAAGAGAGTTCAACAGTCATGAGGACTTGATGCTCTTACAGAGGACCACGGTAGGTGGCTTACAACCTAACTAGCTCCTAGTGAAGCTAAAGTCCTCTTCTGGCCTCCCTGGATACCCACATGCGTTTACACATACACAGACACACGTGTACACATAAACAATAAAATAATTTTAAAGAAAATTTAAAGGACTAGGATAATAAACATAAGGAACAGAGAGAGGAAAGAAACAGATGAGGAAGGGTCACAAGGTCATGTTCTCTTGATTACTCCTTCACATTTGCCTTACCTAAGATAGGTAGCTTGGTGAGCCCAGTATGATTCAGGGAGCTAAAGTTTGATGAAGAAATGGAAGGGTGGAGTGGGAGAGGTGGGTCAGAGGTTAGGGGCATTGGCCTCTCTTGCAGAGGACCTGGGTTCAGTTCTCAGCACCCACATGGTAGTTGATAGCCATCTATAACTACAGTCCTAGGGGAGCTAGTCTCCTCTTCTGGCCTCCACAGGCCCTGCACACACATGGTGCACAGACATACATGGATATGAAATCTCAAAAAAAATTTAAATAAATGGGTTTAGAGAAAAATGACAGAATAAAGGAAAGGGAACCTGGGGATAGAGAATCTCATCCCACTTTGTTTTCTAGAATCTCCTGGTGTTTGTTTCGATCTAGACATCAAGAAAAGCAAATTATGCCAAATGCCTGAACCTACAACTTTGAAATACATCCTGTGTGATACTAAAGCATGTCTTCAAGACCGGATTAAGTGACAGTTTAGGCACTTAAGCATCAGCAGTGTTTGAGGAACATGGCATTTAGGCAGGTGGCAGTCTTCTTAGTTTGCACTTGGTTTTCCCTGCTGCACTGGAGTGTTCCTTGTCCATGATGAGGTCTCACCTTACCCTCAGTCAGAGCACAGGTGTTCATGATGAGGTACCACCTGCCCTCCAGTTAGAGCACAGGTGTTCATGATGAGGTACCACCTGCCCTCCAGTTAGAGCACAGGTGTTCATGATGAGGTACCACCTGCCCTCCTGTTAGAGCACAGGTGTTCATGATGAGGTACCACCTGCCCTCCAGTTAGAGCACAGATGTTCATGATGAGGTACCATCTGCCCTCCTGTTAGAGCACAGCATTTGATGACTAGGACTAGAAAGTAAGGTAGGGCTGGGAAAAGCAGGACTGCAGGAAATCCTGGACAAGAGGAGAATTCTAGAAAGAACAGGCGTTTGAGTCACATGTGACCTGTGAGATACACTCTAGAACATCCTCCACCTCCCTTTTGTAGACCTGATTCTTTTCTGTTTCTGCCAGTTTGCCAAAGGCTTGTTTTGACATTGCTCAGGTTGACTTTGGGGCCTTCAGTTGACCAAGCTCTGTGCTTCAACTTTGTCCTGCCTTCCAGTGACTGTTTCATTAGCTTGGAGGTTCCAGTCCTCACTGACAGTTCCACTGCTTTGCCTCCCCATGTTTAGCATACCAACTCATCTCCATCAGTGGGAGCTGAATTTTACCATTTTAGACTTTGATTCATCTTCCCAGCGTTCATAGTTTGAAGAATTGTAGCCAGACTTGTATAAGTTCATGCTTCATGACATACTAAAAACTGTTTGCACCCAACATCTGTATATGAGATGCTAAATTCCTGTGGAAGAGAGCAGAGGGCATCCTTACCATAATGAAATCTGAGGTCCTATCCTCATTGGATAAATTAATGTAGATTCAAAGGACTCCAACTCCTGACCTCTGAGATAGGCCCAGAAGATGTCTGAGGTACCCGGATGCACTCTTGTATAAAGAATGATTGTGTGAATGCTGTGGCTGCTTGGGAGAGTTTGAATGCCACATTACTAGCCCAGAAGACAGAAAAAGGGGCAGACTGGTTTATTCTATGCATATGTGAATGAAACTGAGCTAAATCTCATCCTGGTTAATGTGTCTTGTACCAAGATTCTCCAGTCTCCTCGAAGATCTTGAGTTAGCAAGACTTTGCCCATTCCCTCCATTCTTAGATGAGAGCTAACACACGTGGTTCACCTTAGTAAAATGTGCAAACATGTACATGGCTTTCAGTGAAGAGGGAGTACTGGAGCAACCTTATCCCCTGCAGAGAACCCGATCAGGTCATTGTAGCTACCTCCCTTGGGTGCTGCTCTTCTATAAACAGGAACAGGAATTCTTCTTGCCACTAGATCCCTCTTGTCAGGTGGCTTAGGCTTGCTGAATGAAAAGCCCTGTGAAAAGGAGATGCAGCCCTAAGAATAACAGTCACGATCCTGTTGGCTATTCTGGGCAAGAGCGGCTTTGTGCCGCGCTTGATCTCTATCAATGCCTGCCATTCTTGCCCTGCTGTTACCTTTGGACTTCCTATTCTTAGAATCATTTGTGAGCTCTGGGCTTGGGGGAGTGCAGCCCCCAGGACTGGAATGCCCAGCTTGAGTGGAATGCAGACAGTCTGACAGAATGAAGGTTAAATAAAGTTTGCCTGGTCAGCCCCTCTTCTCTTGGATGGATGACAAGTAATTTGGGTATAAGAGCAATGGCATGAGTTATCATGTAGTGTAGTCCCAAACGGCCTTCTGGATATAAGTTGTAGTGGTTGATGGCCCATCCATGACCAGCATAACCATACCAGTCTCCAAGAGATACATACTAAGGAGGCCTCAACAGTGACTACGTGTCACTAGTAAAAACAAAAAATACAGAAACAAAAATAATAATGTTGACACACCTTCCAGGTTTTCAACTGAGCTCTAGAATTAACTTATTTGCTCCTTAGAGTTACTGAGTAGTGTTTGAAAGCAAGACAAAGGGGAAAACCTTCATAATTGTGAAGTCAGATATCAGGCAACAAACATTTCTTGAGCCACAGGTACTTTGGGGGATTTTTAAGAAGTACAAGACATAGAATTCTTGTGGTATTGTCAGTCTAGTTAAAACACAAATCTATAAATACATGGGAAAGGAATTCATACGCCAGAGTATGTTAGCTACACACCTTTGCAATAGCACCAAGTGCCAGAGGCGGCATCATGAGGAGAGCACTTCGGCTGGGCCTCTCAAGGAGAGGTTCAGGCAATGAGTGTTTACATGGCTTTGCAGAAGCAGAAAAGTAAGGTTTGAAGCAGGGTGTGGGTGTAGAACATTCTGAAGACAAAGACCTTGAAGGCCCCTGACCATACCAGAATGGCCAGGGAGAAGAGTAAGAGGTTGTGTGAAAGTTGCCAACATCCTAACTCCAGTGTACAGGAGAGATAGAGACTCTGGGAATAGCCCTGCTCCGAGATTGGGACCTGTTAGCATTTTCTCTGCAAGTGCCTAGGATAGTATTATCACAGTTGTTTGTCTTGAAATGTGTGATCCCACTTTTTGAGGTGGCTTGGTTTCCATCATGAAGGCTGCCGCTTACCTACATGAGTTATGTTCTGTCCAATCTATTAGGATGACTCTAAGAAAACATAGTGGTTACTGTAAAGCTTGTAAACAATGAAATCTGCTTCTAATTCTAAGGCTGAGAAGTCAGGGTCCAGGCACAGACAGACTTGGACATATAGCTACAATTTGGCTCACAGACTTCTGTCTCATTCCCATATTCTTACATGGTAAAAGGGGAAGCACCTCATTTGGAAGCTTAGGTGTCTTTAGAAAGAACACTATAGTCACATTTACAAAGGCTGTGGCCCATGACTTCATCACCTCATAGCTCATGCTCACTAATACTATCTCTTCAGAGTTGGGATTTCAGTGTATGAATGTGAGAGGAGAGTAGACATCCAGCCCATTGCCTTGAAAATGCCTGGCTTTTCTGAGCTTTTTTCTCTCTTCTCCCACAGGTGGCTAGAAGTACAGGTGGCTAATCTAACATGTCCCCAACGCTGGGTGCAGTACCTCCGGCTTCTTCGGGAATCTATCTGGCCTGGTGGAGTGTTGCCTAAGTATCCACGGCCTGGAAGGACTCAGGCACAGAAAGCAGCTACTGAGAAGCAGGCTTTGCAGAGCTTGATGAGTATCCTGCCAGGTAATGGGACCAGTGAGATGGTGATACTGGTAATGTATATTCTTTCCTCCCATCCTCCTTTGCCAGTGCTGCCTGACATCCTTCCCCATCTCCAAAAGGCTCAAAGTCCCATTTCTCCAACTGATGGGAAGATGGTCACAGCTGTGATTCTCCCATCCCTCACTCAGTGGTGGCAAGGGAGTAGAAGGATCACTTTGGCCACAGATACTAAGGGACAGTCCTGCAGACATGTGAGTTTAAAACTTTGGGGCAGATTTGAAAAAGCTGTTACCGCAACAGCAGCTGTCAGCACCACATGACAATGCTGCATCTCTGCTAACTGATGGTGTTTGGGGACCTGAGAAGAGCATGATGTCTCCTATAGCACTCATACTTGATTAATTTCATCCTTAGCAATAGAAAGAACACAGCCTGAGAAGGGTTTTTCCTTCTCTTGTGTTGTTTTTCAATATCAGAGAAAGCAGTTTGTTGCCTGTGGCTGTGGTAACCAGGGAAGAGTAATGAACTGGGCTCTGGACAATCCACTTGAGTTACCTTTTCTCCAACCTCAACGATGAACTCAGAACTATCTCTGTACCTTTGTGGCAGGTTGCAAAGCCCTCTTGTGGCTCATTCTTAGTTATAGATTCTTAAAAAACATATTTTTCATGACATTTCTCTGTTCTATGGTATTTTCATTTGCCTCTGTACCTTAGGGCTATTCTAGAACTGGCCAGTCTACGAGACGGCTGAAGTTCTGGGAGATGTTCTTTGGTTCTAAGGCTGCAGTAGTAACTCAACTGTCTTATTTGGTTTTCTCCTTCAGAATTTTTAGTAGAGATCCTGGGGGTGAACAAGTGCCAGCTGAGCTGGAGTCTAGTCTTGGAATCATTCCAGCAACCCCTCATCAACAGGTAGGCTGGAGTGTGCAATACCCAACACAGCATAGAAAAAGCTGTCACAGGTGGCAAGGTTGGTAAATGCAGAGCCCACTATTAGATAGGTCTGCACTTGACTTGGGCTGACCGAAGGGTCTGCTATTCAGATTCTGCACACACTTACTGAAAGCTGTGCAGCCAGCTTCTGAGCAGGTGGCTTTGTTGTAGTAAGCTGCTATAGGACCAGCCCCTGTCTGTATTTGGAAGAACTCAGTGTAGACCCCAGCAAGAGCTACCGAAATTGCTTTGCTAACCTCCAGGCAAGAATCGTCCTTGTGACTAAATTTCATAAAATGTCACATTTTTTACACAATTACGTTAGCACTTCAGCACTATACTGAAGAAGTATGCTCAATGGTTTTTCCCAACATTTGCCAGTCCCTATGTCAGGAGCATGCCCTGGCCTGTGCAGTTCAGGCTATGTGATGTCTTTCACTGCAGTTTCTCAGCCTCACAGCAAAGCTGTGATTAGTATTGAGAACAGAAGTTGTCATTGTTTAGTGTGATATAGACAGAATAGTAAGGTTTTGCATCGTATGAAGGGACTAGAACCTAGAAAATTTCAGGAGATAGATCCCATCTCTAAAGCAGGAAGGCTTTGGGAAAGTATCAAATACCCTTGCACATGCCTTCTCAAACCTTCACCAGTGTCTAATCTCTCAATTCTCAGACCTGAGGACTCCGCTCATGGAGAGGAAATTCAGTGATGGATCATTAGAAGCACCAGTTGGCTGTAATGACATCACAACAGTTCTTCCCAAGTTCTGTAGAGTAATGCATGTGTACTGATGTAACTGCAGAGAATGTTGTTCTGTACAGTCTGTTCTCCAAAACAGTTCTTGTCTTCGTTGAGCTGTAGCTTTCAGTAGTGCAGAACGTATTGGTTCCGTTACAGCTGTGCTATAGACTTGGCAGCTCCTGGTAACAGTTAGGCTTCTTAGAGTTCTCTATAAAGTGAGAGCTATATGAGGTGGGCCCTCTTCTTAGTTGGTTGTTCTATCCATTTGTTTCAGACATTTGATTTACTGTCTTGGAGACATCATCCTGGAGTTCTTGGACCTTGGTGCCTCTGTTGAAGAGCCTGCCCCAGCCACCTCTGCCTCAGATTCCCCAAGCAGCCTCAAGAGAATGGCTGTCTCCACCTAGCTAAGAGTCATTCACACAGTCTTCAAAGGCTTGAATAAGAGAGCTTTTCAACCACCCAGAGACCGATTAAAATGCCTGTGCCCTCTGGAGCCAAGCTACCTTAGCTGGCCTCCATCTCAGTGGCTCAGTTCTCCTGTCAGGTCTCCCTTAGTAACAAGTGATGGGGATATATAGCCCAATTGCATGCGTATCTGTTTCCATAGTCTTATAGCATGTGGATTTCTACTGGTGAGAAGGTCTTGTTTCTTTGGGAAAGGAAGCTGTGAAGCAGAGGTTTCTCCTTTGCCTTCTTCTCGCCATCATAGTTTGCCAACATCATGGCTCTGTGCATGCATGCACCTAATCCACAAATGCAGAAGCATTGGGTAATACAGGAGAAAAACTATAGCCAGATTTCCTGGGAGGAGAAACAGCCTCCTGAGCTCTCTTTTCCCACGTGGAAACTGAACATTCATTCAGGAGCACTTCCTCACCCTGCCTAGTTCCACAGCAATTCCAGAAGAGGGAAGGAAAGTGTATTTCAAGGGACTTCCTACTTTTTAGCTATTTTCTTACACAGCAGCCTTCTAGAGGATGTCAGGAATGCTGCTTCCTCTGCTGGCTAGACTTTTTCTGTCCCGAAGGCTTCAAAGCACACTGTTAAACTTCTGGTAAATCCACCCCACCCTTCACACCCTTTCCTGCAAGGGATTACACCTCAGAGTTTCTTAACTCTCCTCCCAGCTCCTACCCAAGCACATGAGTTTTGGATTTGTAAATTTCCCTTTGTCTTAACAGAATCACATGACAAGTTAGATACATGGCCTCAGTGTTTCCAACGAGAAGGGAAAGTACTTGTTCCATGGCTGAGAGTATACAAAGAATAGAAGTAGGGATGAGTGGGAATCTTTTCACAAGACTTTGGCAAGAATGTTTTACTCTGAACACATAATATAGCAAACTTGCAGGATATAGATTTTACTTCCAGATCCTTAAAGAGTGAATTTCTTATGAGCCCAGTGATGAAAATAGTAGTGCCCTGTGCCCATTGGAAAGATGGAACAAGGAGGGACAGTCACAAGGGAAAGGCTGCTCGCAGTAAATGCATGAGTTTCTGGCATTCACATGGTACCAGTGGGAGACCATAGTCACCCCCCAGCTCATTAGTGTCTATGTAGCTCTAGCCCAACTTTCCCTGAACTACAGGATCCACATGGAAGGGGGTCTTGGAGGAAGACTGGTGAGAATGGGGTCAAGCACCAAGAGCCAGCGTCAAGGTTTTCCAGACTCCAAAGTATGTGATGAGCACACAATTAAAGTTGTTAATAGAAAAAGGTTGTGAAATTGTTGTTCTCCTGCCCCGAGAGGCTTGTAACCGTACATCACTCTCTGATGTGACTGGGAGGCTTAAGATGCTGCTCTTGCCAAAAGGCAAGAGGTAAATGAGATAAAGTTTCATGGCCTCGTCTGGCCTTGAAGCATGACTTGATTGCTCCAAAGTTCTTGAAGTATCCCCTTCCCTTGGCCCTCAGAGGCAGAGGTAACTCAACATGCTGTACTATGAGTGCCTCCCAGGGCATGGTTCCAGGGGACACCTGGGATCTGCTCCTGCAGTAAGGGCCACTTTATTCTCTTCTGGTGGAGTGAGAAGTCCTGATTTCTGGAACTCTTCTCTCCCCACATCCACCCCTCCACATGTCCATAGCCATCTGTGTCACTTTGAATCTATGTACACATGTGTGTAAACCTGTTGGTAACCCAGTACACCATGAGTTCCCCATGGCAGTGAAGTCCAAGGGATCTTTTCATGCTTGCTGCCCAGAGAACTTCCTTACATTGATTTTATGTACAAGACCCCACTTTTACTCCACCTTCCCCCAAAAGGTAAGCTATCCTCAAGAGGAAAATGATAAAGATAACCAGGGAATTCATCAAAACCTATCTGGCTTTGAGAAAGACCTGCCAAGTTTGAGTAGCATGTTCAGACCACATGATCATCAGTATATAGGAGTATCAGGATGATGCTCCAGGTTGGGAGAATGAAAAGCAGGAAAGAACTGAGCCCACACTTGCCTCTTGCTTTTCTTTCCTTTTTGTTTGTTCTCTCTCTCTCTCTCTCTCTCTCTCTCTCTCTCTCTCTCTCTCTCTCTCTTTTTTTTGCTTTGTCGAGACAGGGTTTCTCTGTGTAGCTTTGGAGCCTATCCTGGCACTCTCTCTGGAGACCAGGCTGGCCTCGAACTCACAGAGATCCACCTGCCTCTGCCTCCTGAGTGCTGGGATTAAAGGCGTGCGCCACCAACGCCCGGCGCTCTGGCTCTCTTTATGATAAATTTACTCATTTAATTCAAAATACTAATGTCTGAACTAAGACCAACACCCTTTCTGTCTTGATTCTACATCTAGTAAAAAGATGAGGAATGGGAGGGTACTGTCAACTCTAAATGTCATCCTTGCCATTGTTTATTGAAGTTCAAAAAAGTTGTATTTAATATATAATAATATATAGCCATAATAGCCCACAATTTTTGTTCTCAAGATTCTGCATTAAGTTTGATAGAACCTAGAAGGAAAATGCACTCCTAGATCTGAGCATAGGAAAATGTTCAAATTTAATATTAACAGAAGTAACCCTGACTTCCATTTTGAAGTTTCCAGAAGTTTCCAACATACAACATGATTTTTTGTTATAAGAGTGCCACGGAGTTTTGCTTTTAAACACTGTTGTACACCACATCTCTAGAAGATTTCCATCATGCATAGCTATAACTTTATACTCAGTGAAAAGCAATCTCTCCTGCCCCCTGCAGAGTGGTGGTGGTGGTGGTGGTGGATTGGATAGTCACCATTCCACTTTCTGTATGTGTGAATCACACTCCAAGTGAGTGGAGTTGAGCAGTGTGTGCCCTGTGACTGGCTTATTTCAGTTCACATTATGGTTTCTGGTTTGTCTATGTTGCAGCATGTGAAAATACTCGTTTAGACTCAACAATGTTCTGTTTTATAGATATACCACATTTTCTTCATCTGTTTGTCCAGTGATGGACATCTAGGCTGCTTTCATTTCTTGGTTAATATGAACACAATGGGAAGTGGCAGTGCAAGTATTTCTGTGGAACCCTGCATTCAATACTTTTAGATTAAAGACCCAAAAGTAAGATTGCAAGATTATGTGATCACTGCATTTTACTTTTTGATTAAAATTACTGTTCTGTGTAGCAGCTACATTTCTAGCAACAGTACACAGAGATTCCAATTTTCTATGTGCATGCACTCACACATTTAATAATGCCTCCTTCACATATGTGGTGTGCTGCTTCCCTGTGGTTTTGAACCCAGACCTTCTTGAGTCCTGCTTTGCCTTACTCAACCTATTCATTTCTTCCTTTGCTCTCAACACCTAAGAGTTGTTGGGTCCTAGATGGGGTGAAGGTTTGTAAACGTAGTCCCTGGCTATATGAGTTAGGGTGTTCTGGATAAGATTTAGTTGCTAGGAACATTGTGTTTTCTTCCATAAAGTCAGTGCATAAGTAAATGTGTTCCATGGGTTCATTGATTCAACAACTTGGGGATGTCACAAGACCTGTTTTTGTTAGAGTTGTTGTTTGTTTGTTTGTTTGTTTTTCTGCTCTTCCATCCTAAACATTTTAGGTCTGTCCTGAGACTCCCTGATCCATGCTTACTGTGCTTCCTGACACCTCATCCAGGCTGACTGTCTGAAAGGTAGGGCATCTCTTTCAAAGAATGAGGGATCCATCCAGGGACCCCTCCAGGAATCTTCTTTCTCATTGCTCCCACCCCAATGCTAGACCATACACATTAAGAATGGTTGGCTTGCAGAAGTACTTACTCCCAAGGACATGACAACTATGAAATGAAGGTCAGACAGATAAAAGAACAGTTTATCAAGGAAGAATCAATGAGTGTACATTGATAGACATTCTGCCTATAAATCTCCCATGGAAATCTAAGAGCTGTCATTTGTTGAGGTCATTGCTTGGAGCACTTTAACCCAGGAGTCAACACCATGTTCTGCCATGTTCCTATTTCATAGATGTGGAGCATGACACACAAGTTGACACATGACATATCAGTTACTTGCAAGGAAGTGACAGAGCCTAGATCCAAGTGTCAGCAGTCTCTCTCGAAGCACACTTACATAACCACTGTACTCAGCTGCCTTTTTGTCTTACCGAGCAAAGTCTGACCAGGTTCTCATTTTCTGAGAAGTCTCTAGCCTAATCCAGTATGCAGAGAGCTTCTGTAAAGGATCAGAAAACAAATGTTTCAGGCATTGTGACTGCATCCTCAGCTGTAGCCACTCAGTTCTTCCATGGTAGCATGAAAAACAGCCACCAACAGTTCATAAATAAGTGAAGCTGTGTTCCAGCAAAGTATGAATTAAACACGGGCAGCTGGCCACATCTGATCCTTGAGTGGTATTTTTCAGACCCAGTCCAGTGAGTTACAGGAATGCTACTCAAACTGTTGTGCTGGAAATTCGCCTGCCATCTTGCAAAAAATGCAAAATTTGACTTGGTAGTCTGGGATGAGACCCAGTGAAAATATAAATGCCATGCTCTGAGATATTGATGACATAATTCCCACGCCTTTCCTGAGGAGACAGGTTAGGTGCTCCCTTAAGGGACCCCACCAGCACCTGTCATGTCCTTTCTACCACAGCAATGACTTTCCCCTGGCGGAAGACTAGCCTGTCCTGCCTAGGAAAGGGATGGGCACCAGGGAAGAGCTGGTCATTGGCAAGGAGAAGAACTATGATGCTTTTGCAGTTGTAGACCCAGCTGGACAAGCTTTGCCGTAACTTGGCCTCCTCTGTTTCCTTTCCACTGGAAATGCCAGACATCACAGGACAGTCATTCTCATTGCCTTTGTGGAAAAGAGAATGAAATCATTGAAGGGTAAAGTTCAGCTAGCAAGCCTGTATCACTATTTTGAGGTGAGACACTGCTACAGAAAACAAAGTTGAGGGGGGGGGAGGGATTTCTCAGGAGAACATCATGAGGGAGGCATTGTCCCAGGCTCCATACCACATCCTAAGCCTTACCTGAAAGTTTCTATTGCACAGAGACATCACTCACTGTCTTTAAATAAGTCCGGGGTGATGGAGGGATGGCTCAGCAATTGAGTACTGTTCTTGCAGAGAGATAAGTTGCCAGCATCCATATCAGGCAGCTCACAAACTGCCTGTAACTCCTGCTCCAGAAGATTTAACCATGTCTTTGGACTCTGCTGGCACCTGCACTCACACATGTACATCCTACCATACAGATACCCACATACATACATAATTTAAAAATCTAAACCCCAAAGAAAGTTCAAGCACCATGAAAGAAACAAATGAAACTCATGAGGACCTGTTCCTGTGATCAGGTGGCATCAATGAACGGGCAGATTCTGCTCAGGTGTCAGGGAAACCATGACTGCCAAGTCACCTGGTGGATACACAGAGCTGCCCCCACACTAACTGCAGCTTTCTACTGCCTCCCCTTCTTGCCTGTATCTAGTTCAAAGGTCCATGTCAACTCTGTTTCTTTGGACACAGAACAAGCAGGAGGAAGAGAATGATTTTGATGTCTCCTTGCCAGTGTGACATTGGATTTCTCCAAAGACCTCCATTCTGCCCTTCCCTGCAGGCATGTGTATAGAAGTCAGTGTTATAGGTTCTGAAATGTCAGTGGTTGGGAGAAAAGAATGAAAGAAAGAAAGAAAGAAAGAAAGAAAGAAAGAAAGAAAGAAAGAAAGAAAGAAAGAAAGAAAGAAAGAATCCAAACCCAAATGTAGAGAACATGGCTTACTTCTTGAGACAAGGTCTCTGTGTAGTCCAGGCTAGTCTTGAATTTAGGATGTTTCCTCCTGAATCTCTATAAAGTGCTCCGATTATAAGTACCATGCCCAGCCAAAAATCATTTCCTAAAGTAACATTATCTACTTTGCCCAAAGTAGATCCCGTGGTCATCAACCAGTGCTTGTTTAGGAAATACAAGCTAATTGTAGTATTAAAGTGTATCAGTGGTAGGCAGTAAGTCTGTGTGTGAATAGCCCACACTTGGGCTCTGCCTTCTCCCTCACTCCATGCCACTGCTGCTCTCAGTTGTTACATGCAAGGGAGAATTAGCTATGATTATCCCCAGAGACTTTAATTCATGAGGGTGAAGGCCAAGCACAGAAGTCTCTGAGAATAAATAAAAAGACTAATGGCCTGGAGAAATGGCTCAGGAGTTAAGAATGGTTGAGGCTTTTCCAGAGGATCCAGTTTGGTTCCCAGCACTCTGGCTGTGCAGCTTACAAGCACCTATAACTGTAGATCCAAGGGATTTGA